CAAGAAAGAAGACAAGATTTTGCTCATGGGACTAAAAAATGTTGCTTGACAGAATCACTTCGTATACTTCTCACCGTCCTTCTCCCTGCATCTTCAAAATGCCTTCCCTTCCATTAATCAGGATATGGTGCACTGGAGAGCCATTTCTATGGCCCCAATCCTGCAAGTTGTTCTGTGGGGGCAGACTCCTGTGCATACCTAAGGTATGTCTACACTGCGGGCTAAACTCAAGTTAAGATAAGCAACTTCAGCTACGTTAATTGTGAATCTAAAGTAAAAGTACCTTAACTTGGCTTTTGACACTGTCTATACAGAAGGAAGTGGAAGGAAGAATACTCTCCCTTCGACTTCCCTTACTCCTCGTGAAATGAAGGTTAAGAAGCCTATTATTTTGAAAATAATTTTGAAATAATGGGCTTGCTGTATAGATGCGTACTCTGTTATTTTGAAATAACACAAGTTATTTCAAAATAAGCATTCAGTGTAGACATAGCCTTAGAGCCCAAGGGAATTCAAAGGGGCTCTTTAGCAGCTCTTAGACCCTGAACGTTACAAATTGTCTGCTTTATCATTCACTAGATGGACCTTTATTTTATAGCACCAAAGTATGAAATGTATGCACACAAGAGTCAGACAGAAAATATTTGGGGTGAAAATATCATTTTAATCCATATTTGAACATTTTTTTCAATAAAATCTTTGTACAAAGAAACTTTGCAATGAATAACTTGGTGACATAAAGGTGTATTTAATCTGCAATGAATCTGCATTTTTCAGCTGAAAAATTTCACCTAGCTCTGCCCAGAAGACAGATTCTAGACACCTTGAATGTGACATCCAGTCAGGTTCAAACCATGAATTCAAAGTGTTTCACGTGTCCTGAAATCCCCTGCCAATTACTTGAGATTTTACAGTCAATTTTTCCAATTTTTAAAAAAGTTTACTTCCTTCCTGTTGTGGGAGGAGTCAGTGGGGAGAAGAAAGTGACCCTCAAAATGAGGGAAATTAACTTAGCTGCTTATACAGAGACAACAGTGAAACTGACCCAATGCATGGGGAGGAATTCTGATGACCTTTCTCACACTGAGTGGTCAATCAGGAGGTCAGAATAAAGAGTAAAACAAACAGTTATAATAATAATCTTAGCTGTTACCTGTATAAATAACAGAATTTTCAGGCAGCTGATTGGAGAAAGGAGGGTTGGTTGGTGGATGTTTTATTTTTATTTTGTTTTAATTAAGGCTGCAGTAGATTGTGAGTTTGGTGTCCGTGTGTCTTTTTTTATCTTACCCTGTCTCCTGTAGATTTAAATCATGAATAGTCTGACTCTAAAAGTGCAGACACAACTTTCCCTAAAGCTCTTCAATAAATATTCAAAAGAAAAAATCACACACAACAAACTGCCTTACATAAATGTGCATGTTATTCTAGCTAACAAATGCAATTTAATGTGGTTAAGCAGGAAATGTACTGTACTATGGGTAGGCAGAGAAGGGCTTCATCTTAACACCTGTCATTGCATCTAAAATAGCCAAAGATGTGTGGCCTCTTTTCTGATCAACTCTGTATTTCTTTGTTTTTTGTTGTTTTGTTTCCTGTTGAGACATTAAAAATAGTATCTGACAGAACGCAAAGCTTGCAATCAGTGGCCATCAGCATTAGTAGTAAGGTGATACAATTAGTCTTCTGTGCTCTTCTGGTGGATGACTCATGTGACATATCCCAAAATGAACAGCTACTGCATCGTTTTATGCTTCACTGAATTGAGAATAATGAGTACTGTGTTGCTTTTGTTTTGGGTTTGGTTTTTGTGTTTTTATAAAGAATGATGCACCCGCCAGATTGTATGATGCAACTTCATTCACAAATGATATAAACATCTAACTGACAAACAGGTTCCGGCTCAGAATGATGCCAATGAACTGGTGGCTTTCATTTGTGTTTTGGCACTTGCGGTGGTTTGAATTTGCTCTTGGCCAAACTGAATATAACTTGTCCTATAGGAGCATGTACAGAAACCAAGGAGAGACTGCCTTCTGCTCACTGGTATATCCTCCATGAAGTCAACAAGGGCAACTAGGAACAGAATTTGGCCCAGTATGTTTTACCCTACGGCTTTATGCTCTGAAAAGAGATTTCAGAGGATGTCTGTGTTAGTCTGTGTCAGCAAAAACAACAAGGAGTCTAGTGGCACTTTAAAGACTAATAAATTTATTAAGGGATTAGAGTATAAGATTTTGTGAGCAGAGATTGTGGCTTTGTGGGGCTCCCTGTTTAATATGTCTATTTGACGTCAACACAAACTGGGCTTAATTTAAAAGTAAAGTTGGGTTGGTTGTGTTTTTTGCGATGGTATCTGACAGGCTACTAGCTCTCTGATGCTGTCAGACCAACTCAGATTAGAGCAGTGGGGCAATTCACTTGTTTAACTATTAAAGAAATGCCAAATATAGTATGTGTATAAGCTAGTTCTCTCTATAGATCAAAAGGAAATAATAATGTTGTTATATCAACTTATGGTCTGTGACCCTATTGGCTGCTAATGCAATTGTAATATCTGTTTCCTGTGATTGCTATCTTTGTGCTTAATTGACCTCTCAAAACAGAGATGTGAATTTACTTAGTGTACTAAACATCATGAGTACTAATGAATGATATTTGTAATGTTTCCATTTATCCATCCCTATTGTAATGAATGCCTGGCAATTGTATTATGTAAATCATTGTAACTGGATTACTCATGTAGGCATAGGAACTAGAACATAAACTTATGTTTCTCCATGAGAAGTCTATAGACCTATGCTGTGCTGAAAACACTTGCTAGATTGTTTTCAATTAATAGAGGCAGGCCCACATGCAAGAATTTCTGTGGGGGTGTGGGAGCTTTTTTTGTAAATGTGGACTGCATTTTAATATATCTTTAATATAAAGGAAAAAAAGAGTTCAAAATAGTCATGAAATGGGTGTGCATAAGAGAGGTTCAAGAAAAATTCGAGTGGAAACAGTGATTGGTAAAATGATTTTATTATAACATACTAAAAATGTATACAGTAATAAGGGTTTTATAGAAATTACCTTCTGGGATCATGGCAGGCAGCATGGCCGCCATGGTCCCCCACTCCCTCGGCCACCTCTGCCTGCTGGTGTTCTACCTGCTCAGCAAGGCCAGTGCTGGATGATTGAGGGTGGAGCTTCTAGCCAGTGGGGCCAGACCTAGGTTACTCTTCATGGGTGGGGTGCACCATTCCCCTGACCCTGTTGCTCTGCCACCAGCCCTGCCTGCCCTTCCTCCTGAAACACAGCACTCTCTCATCCCCCTAACACAGCGGTTCTCAAACTTTTTGTCCCATGGTCCACTTAGCTCAATGCAAACCTTTCTGTGGACTACCAGTTGCTAATGGAAACTCGCCGTTAATTATATAATTATACCCAAGCCATTTTGTGTGTGCTTCAGCCAGGGAGAATGGTTTAATTTGACCAGTAAGAAAGGAAATATTAATTTAATTGATTAAAGAGACTGAGTGCTTTCACTTTCCTATGTTAGTTTATCAAACTTCATTTTAAATAAAGTAAAATATTAATTTATGCCCAACACAAAAGGTTCTCATGTTTTGTTTATTTATGGCGGGGGCCACTGACCAACAGAAAAATCAGTTGGGGACCACAGAAGTGAAAAGCAAAAAAAAAAAAAAAAAGCACCCATCTCCCATACTTCAGCCAGCCCTGAGAGTTGGCAGGAGCATGCCACATGGTGCTTCAGTGGTGATTTAAAGGGCCCAGGGCACTGGTCACTGCTTGTGGCAGTTGCAATGGGGCCCATTTTAGAATCACCGGGCCCTGGGGCAACTGTCCCCTTCCTCCACCCTCCATTGACAGGCCTGGTCTTTGGTGAGATTTGAAGTACACCTTGACCAAGTAAGTGACTTGCCTTTGAATGCCTGGTGAATATTGGCTCTAATAGCCTTTGATTATTAAGTCTAGCTTGTCTGAATGGTAAGTATGGCTGATGTGCCAAAGAGACTGTCTATGGCTCCTGTGGTATGACTAATATAGCAATCCAAGAGTGCTCATTTGTTACTGGCTTGGTGAAATCTAATTACAGAATATGTCACCAGTTGGGAGTTTCTGCCCTGGTTTCTGACAGTCTGACCTGAGCGTGGCCTCTCAGTTGTGAGCCACATACCAGGCACTGAACCACATTGTATTTATTTTTCTGACTGATAGCTCTTCACAAGTCAGAAAAAGAGATTCTGCAGGTTGTATTTTGCCCTTTTTCACCATAATCTTCACTGGGATTGACTCTGTGGTGTCCAACACATTGGCTGACATACTGCTGAATGAACCAAGTTCCTCCAGAGCTAAGGGCATGAGTTACATAGGCATCTGTTAATAGCTGAAGTTGTAACAGATTTATATCGGGTGTGGATCAGAAACTGTGATGGTCTTGTAACATATACACTCCAGTGGATTACATAGCCATGTGGCTGAAGACTGACTTTGGTCCTGCAGATGGAACTTAGTTCACAATTCTGCTGTTGATGTGGGTGTCAGTAAAGAATTCAGCTACCTCTTTTACTGCTGTGTTGTCTCTGCAGCGTCAACAGGAGCAAAAGTACTCAAGTTATTGTTGCCATTAAGACAAGTAGCTATCACGGAATACACACCGGGAGCAAGGGTGATGAGTAAGACGTTGCCATTTTTACGTAGTCACTTTCATGCCAAAAATGTGTTTTAATGGCTTCTTTACTCACAGTCATCCTGAGAAATTGCACCCGAGTGACTGTCCACAGAATTGGGCATCTGTCACTAAAACACTCCTCCTTAAAAAAACACACCTAACAATCAAGGTTCTGTAGATATTAAACTTCCTATGTGCAAGATACAGTGTGTAGATACGGTACTAAAGATGTGCAAATCTTGTGACTACCAATTAACAGATGAAAAGGACAGATTGCAATGGGGCAGTGTATTAACACCGTTTTTGGTCTTGTTTGTTTCAGAAAAGTTGAGCCCCTCATGGAATGTCACTGAAATCCTCCCAATGTGCATCAGAACAAAATACTCTGCAAGTAAGAACATGTGCACATCATCAGCTTTGCATTTTGTTGATAGATCCATGATGCCAATGATTTGAGATACAAGCTAAAAACAACTCCAGTTTTGTGCAGTCAGAGTATTGAGGATAAAAGGCCAAAGATTTCTCCTTTCTGAGCGCCCCCACAACCTGCAGTAAACTCTACAGCCCACCTGCTCCAGTAAACTAAAAACCAGGGCTGGTATTAGGAGGTAGCAAACAGGACTATTGCCTATGGTCCCATGAAGCTAAGTTGCTTGGGCTTCAGCATCTGCACAGCAGAGTTTGGGCTTTGGCTTTCTACCCTGGAACTCAGCTAGTGTAACACTGGTTCTGGTTTATTTTGGTGCATCCCTGAAACCTGCCCATGAACTTCCAGTTGAGAACCACTGTAATACTATAAATCCTAGAGTTCGTTGTTAACATGATCAATTGATTAATTCAAGAGTTTTGTCAAATGCTGAGTCATAAAAAAAAGGTTCTATACATTTCCGAAAGAAGTATGGTTTCCACATGGAATTAAATGTCAGGTGTTTGAACGGATAAAGGACTGTGAGCTACAGAGCCTTAAAAATCTAGATTTCCCCCTGTTTGTATCAGATTGGCAGGTTGAACTCGATGACCTTCCAACCCTTTGATTCTATGTTTCTATCCTATGATTTTATGACTGTAACTAGTTTCCCTCTGATGCTGTGAGTGGCATAGTGGAATTGATGATTCATTCCACCACTTCACCTCTCAAACACTGCCATTAGTCACCGATAATAGATCAAGACAAATTGTTGAAGAGCACTAACCTTGCCACTGAACTTGCCTTTTCATTGTTGGATATGGTCCCTCCCTAGAACTCTTTCTGCCGCACACTGATGGGACAGCGTCCCTGTGTTGCATCTGTTCTGTGGAGAAACAGAGAACTTCAGTCACAAGACTGCCTCTCTGTTACTTTTTCATGCCTGATGTAGCTGATACCAACCATTCACAAATCAACAGTCAAGTCTGAAAAAATCATGTGATTGGTTTAAAAATCGTGAAATTCATGAAATAATAAATTCTCTTTATTTGTCTTCTGCTGGTTCATTTAGGTTCACATTTCTAAACTCTTCTTCACAACCATGAGAGCTAGAAACTCACTTTTACATATGAAAGCTGAGTCTTGAGTACTGACTTGACTCTATGAGCTAGGACTTTATGAAAATACCACCATATATCATGAGACCCATGATATTTGATAAAGCTGCAAATATGCTTTAACATGTTTAAAAATGTGTGTGGTCTCTCCCCCAAGCCCTATGCTATTGCTAAGAGTTATTTTCCTTTTAAAATAAAGCCATTTTGATGTGCTCATGCCATAATGGGTTGTGTGCCATTGGCTAGGGTTTCCTGTGGTGCTTTGTAGCTGTAGCTGAGTAAGAACCCATCCTATTTACAGAAAAGAAGAACAATGCACAAAGCCCAGGGTAACTGAAATACAGGACTGTGTTCCCTTGGAACGAGTAGACCCCTGCTGACATGGGTGATATCACAATGCTAACATACAAACACAGAAGTGAGCAAAAGGCAGCTGTAGTCCAGCATATTGGCTTCTTCAAGAGGAGAATACACTCAGAAGCATGAAATCATGTCATTTTCCCACTTGGAAATAATCTACTTTCCTTTTGGGGTGTTTCAAACAATCTCAAGCTCACAAAAATATTAAGGAAATGGGAATATGTTTATAAAAATGGTAAATAAATCTGCATTTTTATGTCAAATATCTGGGATGTATGAAATTAACATTTTCCCCTTTAAAAAGCTTCTAGAGGAAATAATCTAGATCTGACCTAAGCCACTCTCTAAGCAAGAAGGCTTGGGCATGAGTCTAAAATTCCATGCTTGTTCTTTTGTGTATTTCACAAAATAAATGTCAAATTACCCACTGATCAGATCTCAGTAGTGGTTAGGAACAGTTGAGCTGGATTTAGGATGGAGTTAGTCTTTACCCATGCAACAACGTGAAATTGAAGAAGATAAGGCGATGTTATAGATCTTGGAAGTTCATCTGCCAAGATGATACCAATTCCGAGAAAATAAGTAATGAAAGGCTAATGCCGCATCTGTGGGACGCAAAATCATCTGGCAACTGAAAAAATTTTGTTCAAGACATAACTAAATGTATACAAAGCAATTGTTATTGCCATCACAATATATAGTAGCTAGACATAGCAATTTACCATGAAAGATACTCAAGAACTGCATATATTTCATCACGTCTGAGAATAATATTAGGAATAACATATAGAGATAAGAAGATTCATGAAGAAGTTAGAAATATTACTGGACAAGGCACCTCTCATAAATAGAAGACATCAGTTGCGGAGAATGGAAAAAGAACTCTATCAAATACCACCCTTGGATGGAAGCCAGAAAAGGCAAGAAGAAAGAGAGGAAGATTGCAAATAACTTGGAAACGGACTATTCTGAATGACAGCAAGCGCCTCAACACGAAATGGGAAGATTTGGAGAGAAGGGCAGCTGACATGCAAGGCTGGAAAATGTGAGTAGCCCCATGTGCCACAAAGCTCGGGATGGACTAATATTTCCATAATCCTTGTAATATCACGTGAGTTGCACTGGGAAGAGCCAACACCCCCTTGAGTGATTTAAAGTGCTTTTCTTCCTGAATAAGTCCATGCTATTACTTCACTATATCTATTTGTAATCACGTTGCCTATCCCTCAAATGTAACCTCCTATGGGAAGCAAGACATGAAGGGACCTAAGGCTGGAACATATAACATCACAGAGCAGTGCTAAATTAGCAGTGCTAATTTAATATAGGCAGATCAGAGGAATATAGTATCCTATTGATACTGGAGGGAGGATTTAAGTAGGAGAAAAGAAGCATCCAGGTTAGAATTTGTCCATCCCTTCAAAAGCTGAGTAAAGCACTACGGAGTTTAAAAGCAGCCTGGATAGCTGTTTCCATTTCCTCTAACAGCTGAAGTCAATGGAAAAATTCCCTGGACACGTCTACGCTAGGAGATAAGATTGAATCTAATACAGTAGATTTCCTACCACCTGATTTTGTGAAGTCAAAGGTCCATGTTCTCACGGTGGGGAAGAATTGAATGTAGCATGTCCCCAATAGGGAACCTACTGTTGACTCAGAGCGAGGCAGCATGAGCAGTTTTGCATTCTGGGCTATGCTCATGGTGCCCTTTGAATTAAGTTCAAAACTCTACAGTGGGCGGTTACGGGCTCATGTCAACAGCATCCCATAAGGCACTCGTGCAGTCTCCTCCTCCTTGCATGAGATAAAGGGGAGGCAGTGTTCTCGAACCTTTTGGTGCTACGGTTGCCCATGTAGATGCCATAGCAGTGTGAGCAAGGAGCCCAGTTGGCAGGAAAGCATTGTCATGCTCATGGGTGTTGTGGTGCGCCTCATGGGCACTGGAAGAGGACGAGGATGAAATTTGGCATGGCATGGAGCCACTGCTCTAGCAAGGCCTGGTGCCCTTGCTGGTACACAGAGCTCTGGATACAGAGCTCAGACTGGTGCACATTATTCTGCAGGCTATGGGATGATCAGCAGTGGCTGCAGAACTTCTGCATGTGAAAGGCCACATGCTTCACACTATGCGAATGGCTTTCCCCTGTCCAGATGCACTAGGATACCCACATGGGACCTTCTCTGACTGTGGAGAAGCGCATGGCAATTGCCCTATGGAAGCTTGCCACACCAGACAGCTACTGGGCAGTCAGGAATAAGTTCAGAGTGGGGAAATCTACAGTGTTATTAGACAAGTAGGCAAGGCTATCAATAACATTCTGCTGTAGTGGATTGTGACTCTGTATTTCCCTTTAATCCCTCACCCCAGTTCTACAGTTCAAGGAGTAAAGAGACCATTGTTCAATGAGCATTAGTGTTTATAAAGGGAAACCTACAGGGAAATGAAAGTACTGGAGACAGGAAGGAGAGAGAGGGGCTCAGGAATGGGAGTAGGACTACCTTCTGCCTCCCTTGAGTTCCTCACCTTCTCAGAGGTGGAAGCCACAGGTTGGTGAAGGAGGGAATGGGGGTATCAATGGAACAGGTGAGGTTCTGAGAGGAGGCCCTCTCTAGACAGGGTGCCACACAGTCCATCACAGCGGTCAGTGAGGTGAACATGGTCTTGTGCTGTCTCGTAAGCTGTTCACTGGTGGCCCTCTGCACCTGCTGCTACACTATCTGGTCCTGCTGCTCTGCCTAGATCTCTGCCATGAGGAAGTGCATGCAGTGCATTTGTTCTCAAAACATCTCCTCTCTCATGTGTTTTCACCAGCAGATCTGCACCAGGTGAGCAGATGCTTGAAGAGGGGGAGTTTGCACTGAGCTAATTTCTGGTCTAGCTGCAAAGAAAAGTTACAAGGACAGACTTTACAGTGGATATTTTACATTAAGCCTCACCTTAATATGCTGGCCTATACCAAAGGTCTCTGTAAAGACAAAGATGTGTTCTGTGCAAGGCTAAATGGTTGCCTTAAAGTGGGCACTTTACAGCAGGTACAGCAGATTTCTCAGGGGAGCATCGGGATGCATCAGTCTGGAGGCAGTCAAGCAAGGTAAGGGGCCAGCCAGGTCCAGAGCCTGCAGGTGTGGGAGGGAGATAGGAGAAGGCAGCTTCCCTCTGTGTCCGGCACGCACTGGGACCGGCACATGTGGCTTCCTGGGACAGTGCTACTTTCCCAGCCAGGGCAGGAGCCCACAGGTGGGGTGAGGGGAGGTGGCAGATGGCAGCTTGCCACTGTGTCTGGTTCCAGCCCACATGGCCTCCCGTGGATATTGCTTCCTTTCGTGTGTGTGTGTGTGTGTGTGTGTGTGTGTGTGTGTGTGTGTGAGAGAGAGAGAGAGAGGGTATGTCTACACTACAGCACTAATTGGAACTAACTTAATTCAAATTAGTTAGTTCGAATTAGCTTAGTTCGAATTAGTGCATCTAGACCTAAAAACTAGTTCGAATTAGCATTTTGTATGTCC